CGCTTGGCTTCAAGAATTCTGACCCTAAGGTCTGGCTCCAAGGCTTTGTAGGCGACGATTGAGCTCGGCCAGGTCGGACATGGCTTGGACTTGTGCATGATGAAGCAGTCGGATCGGCTGGAAAGTCAGACTTAACATCATGCTCGGGATTGGCTGAAGGCAAGAAGTCTGGCAGATGGCTGTAGTCCGATGAAGGCGAGCGGGCCGGATAGGCCCGCATTGAGGCGTTGAATTTGGGTAAGATGAGAGGCTGCGCTTCCAGTAGGCTGTCCAGCATTGAACTGGTAGGCTGGGCTGCTGCGGCTTTCCAATTGGCACTGCAGGCTCGGCGCTCGGCTAAAGTACGAGGCCTGGCTGCAAGAGAGCTACAGAAGAATGCTGCCAAAGTCGCTACGAAAGGCAGGTCTGATAAGAGAGCAATCAGCGGCAGAGGTGGCTAAGCTCGAGACTGCATGGAGGAACAGGCTTGCTGGGCTGCAGAGCAATGACAGTATTACACAGGAGCAACAAGAGCCTCTTGAGGCTGAAGGCAAAGAGGATCAGTAAGCAAGGCTGAACAAAAACCCCTTGAGGCTGTGGCTGGCCTAAGATGGCGAAGCGAAAGAGCTGAAACTGAGGCGAACAGGTTTCGGAGGCCTGGCGGACGCAAATCTGACTGAATGCTGCCAGGCTGTGAATGGCTGGATGGACCAATTCTAAAAGTCATCCTGTGATTCTAGGGTGGAAATCTTCAGCCAAGTGTCGTGATCAAATCGAGTGTGCAGATGTAGGCACGAATCGTGGCATTCTTAAGAAACCTTCCAATACAAGCAAGAGGCGTGAGTCTGTGTGGAGCATGTCTGCAAAGCAAGAGACGATTGGCACATCGGGCCAGTCATCAGATTCCATGCCAGGCTGGGGCTGGAAGACTGCCCAAATCTCTTCTTTTTAAGAGCTTCAGTGCTAGAGCCGACTTGGCAAACCGGAAACTGGTTTCTCCTCAAATTCTGATACTTTAAATTGAAGTGTCCACAAGTTCGTGGATCTTCGTTAAAGAAACACGAAGTCTTCCTTTAGAGGCTTCAAAGAGGCCCAACCTGGAAATCAGCTGGGCTGATTCTTCAAACTGCAATCTTTTCATATTTGGAATTTAGTTGCGGCCTGGACTTTTCACTGTTCTTTTTTGAAGTGAGACCGCTCAACGTCTGGATTTTGGAGCTAGAAGCGGGAAGCAGGACTCAACCTTTCAAGTTGGCTTTCAAACTTCCGTGGTAAGAAGATCCTTTATTTTCGTCCTTGAAGGTTTGAAGTCTTCCTTCTGTCTTAACTCGTCGACCTTGGAAGGCTTGAAAGTCTTGTTGAAGAAGAGTTCTCGAAATCAGTGCATGGCCATTGGACCATTGGGCTTGCTGCCTTTTTGACGCTTGCTCACTGCTTGCCTGCCAACTTGATTGTGCACGTGTTAAGGTGTGGATGGCAGATTTGCGACTGGGCAATTCTTTAGCATGTAAAGTTGGCCAGTCGTGGTAGTTGAGATGCAACCTGGTTGAGATGCTCATTTCTGGGCGTCTTGTCCAGTCTCATCTTCTACGACCTCTCGCGGAAAAATGGTCAGCTATTGCAACTGCGTCCGTCCAACCTGACTTTATATGGGATCTTAAGAGCCTGCGGGCTTTGTGGCCAGCAGATTTGCGCCTACCCACAGTGGATGCCACTGCCAGAATGTGCCATGGGCGATGGTTGCCATTGCGCAAGAGGCAATGTGCGCCATTGCGCGGCAAAGCTGTTCAAAATTTTGCAAAGGCTCTCCGAGTGCGGCGACTGGTGCTGATTGCTCAAACTTTGTTGTCCACCGAAAAAGAGTCAACTTGAATTTTGTATTTAGGACGGCGTTGCTGTTGTTTCTGATTGCCGTTGTCGTGCTAATCCGTGAAAAAAATAAGGTGTTTTTTGCTTTGAACTTGGTTTTTCACTTGCGAAAAGACAGAATCAACATTTCGTTCTAGGAAGGTTTGAGAAGGGTGAAAAGAGGCTGATGTTGTTTTGAAGACGACACGCTGAAAAACAAGCACTGCGACTTTGAGGGCACGAGGGAGAAGCTGCAACAAGGAATGTTCTGCATTCTTGCAGTATCATACAGGTGGCCTGCGGCGGGCGTGTCTGGAAGAGTTGTTATCATGAGTGGGGTTCAGGGAAGATGTAAGGCATGAACAACCCATCAAGCCCGACAATCTGGTTGGGTAGACTCTGCCAGAACGAGGCGAGAACTGTGCTTTCGATTACGACGATTACGAGTGGAGCTGCTCCCCCAGTGGTGGGCACGGAGGAAAGCTGCGCCCCACGAGCAGAGCGAAGGACAATCTGACAATCTCGAGCAAGTCGTAGGTCAGACACTCGCAAAGCGACGAAGAGTTTCACAAAGTCGCGAGCATCTTCCCGCTTCGTGTGAATGAACGTTTTGCGAAGTGTTATCATTGCAAAAAGTGTAGATGTTGCTGTTGTGTTTTATCGTGGCAAAGTTGCGAAATCAAGCAATCAAAATGTCAATCTTGCTGCATGTGTTGTTTCCTTTGCATCAATTGGTGGAGATTCGGACGCGTTTTGTCAAATACTCAGCAGGCTTAGCTTCAAAGGCGCGCTCAGACACGACATTGAAATGCAGGCGCGCTGCCAGAAGCAGGTTCGAAATCATGAAGAGGCAGCCAGGTAGAGACTGCCGACAACGTTTGCGGATGCTTGTTGAAGTTCCTTGGCGGTCCTGTGCGGCGCAGAAGACAAACCTGAAATCTAACTAGTTAAAGCCTAAAGCCTAGCTTGGGATCAAGTCCCACCCACAATCCAGAGTCAAAGCGCCACAGGTTGCATTACACACCGACAAAACAATTTGAAATTGCACGTGCCGACCTCGACGAAAGACAGCACACGCCATAAGTGCCAAGGCCATCGATACATCGCCCAAAGAAGATGAACAACATCAATAATAAAGAACAAGAACGAGGACAAGAACATCAACAGCTCATCATGGTGATCAAGCTGAAATTGCAATGAAATGTATGTGCATGGGTATCGGCCCAATCAGTTTGGTTTATCATGTCATGAAAAAGCATGGATCAACCGTCTGTGTTTGAACAAAACACAACACCGACCATCTCAGAAGAACCGACTTGTACTTGTTGGTCAAGCTTCGCAAACATGGAGTTGACAATAGCATAGCCAACCACGAAGTTTGCGCACCATGGATCCGATTCTTTCCCGGCAGTCTGCCACTCCTGTAGGCCGCAAACTCTTTGCTTCAGCTCCTGGTTGAATGAGTCGATCCTCCTGCCGCAGGCGGCCCTTGTGGTTTTTTCAGCTCGAGATGTACTGACGAGGCCATGGGTGCGAAAGGTCTACTGCACGTGTTGCTAGTTTTGTCATGGTAGCCCAGTGTGGACAACATTCATGTACATGATGCCGTGAAGGAACCTGATTTCCACGAGGCCAGCGGCATTTGCTTGGATTGTTTGAGACAGCACTGGCGAAGTTTGTTGGCACATCTCGACGGAGCATAGGAGTGTCAATGTCAGAGTGCTTTCATCTTCTTTTGAGGGGCAAGCCGCAGACTCGCAAGATTTGTCAACATGAGACTTGAAGTCTCGCAAAAGGTGCATCAGACGTCAATATACCGCCCACGCGGGGAATGTCGGCGATGTACAGATCATGAGGAGGCAAGGTCTGGATCATTCCAGGATCGTGCACGGGCAGTGATTGGGGTAGGTAGACGCCGAAGGCGAACCACAGTTAGATGCTGAATTCAGTTGGAAGCACTGAAGAGGCTTCTCGACAGACTGTTCGGCCGGACACGGCCAATGATCAGAGTCGTGCGCCACTCTCAGAGTTCACGATTTGCCGCCATCATCCGCTATCCTCAATCTTGGCAACGGTATCTAATTTCAGCACGTCTTCGGCTGTTTGACAGAGGTGCCGTCTTCTGCGCTCTACCGACCTAGAGACGAGGGCAAAAGGCATCTGCAGAAAGAGTGCGGCCCACAGGCAATTGGGGGGGTTGGTGCTTGAAAGGTTTTCAGTCTGGTTGGGTCTATGTGCTCTGGTTGGCCGGACACGGTGAGCGTTCGCCTGCCAAAAGTCGCTGTCTGCAAATCTCCCGCCCCGGCTCGACCAAGGAAACCGCACGCCCAAACTCCCACAAGGAGTTGAAGGGGCGAAAGTCCGAAACCCCAAAGCATGATCCGAGGCCATAAATACAATAAGCTCTCAAGCCTTCGCCTCATGCATGAAACCGTATCGTCAAAGATGATGGCTGCATGGTCATTGCAGATAAGATTGTGGCAGCGCAGGACCTCGGAATCTAGCCGACACGGAATGCACAACTGGTTCTCCTTCTTGGCAGGCGCTGGCGAGTCTGGCCTTGCTGCCGCGGAAACCGCGAACTGGCCAGACTACCAAAACCGCGGTGAGCTCAGACTATGATGATGTGTGACGTCTCGTGGGTGGCCTATGTAGTTGTGTACTATAGCTGTGTAGGTACTTATACCCGTATAAACATACTTATGTCTCACCTTCTCTCCCTACTGACCTGCTTCTCCTTCCCCTCTCCTCTCTCTCTCGTTGCCTTCTCTTGGGCAGACTTTATAGTCACCGTAGTCACCATAGTCAGGAAACCCTTTGTCTTGCCTCAGGCTGGTGCCCCGCAGAAGTATAGGCGCTCTGCGTGAAGCACATTGGGCAGCTTTGAAGCACAGGGTTCCAACACCTGATGCCGGGGAGTTCTGGCCAACTTTGCACGTGCTTCCGGATTCACGCTCCTCTCTCAATCGGCTTGGCCCAAGCGCTACCGAATCCCCGAACTCAGCCTGTGCCGGAAGCCATGGTGCGGGCCTGGCTTTTGATGCTGCTGGCCCAGCGCTCTGTAGGCCTGGAGTCGAACGCATCCGATGCCGATGCCGGGTGCCTGCTCCAAAGCAGGCGGGTTGAGCTGGTTGCAGATTCGGGGCCTCCCTTCTCGCATCTGCCCTAATCAGGGCCATCTTCGAAGAAGACGGCGGGCTCTCCGGTCTGGCACTTTCGAATTCGTCGCCCGGGCAGAAGGGTTCTGTGCGGGTTGCGAGTCACCTCACGAAGTTGTGACTCCGGTTCGAAGCAGTCAGCCTGGGCCCAGGATCATGGACTTGGCGGAGTCTTTGCAGCCAGGTGCCACTCAGGCGCCGGCAGTGGCCTCCCGTTCGACGTGTAAATCGCACCGCCAAAGGACCTCCTCCGCTCCTTCCGCATTTGCGGTCGCTGCAAGCGCTGGCAGCGCTTCGGCGAGAAGCCACCGGGCATCGGATAAATCCTGAACATAGCAAGAACGCTTTACGTATCCCTCTCACCACCAAGGAGAGATGGTGGATACCTGTCCTGCATGGATCACATGGCCCACCCTGACATCCGTGCTGCTTACTCCATGGGCATCGAACACCATGACCTCTGGTCCGTGCCCTTTTGCTGCAGTGGCACCTGTCCTCTTCCCGATCGTTCATGCCTTATTACCGACATGTGAGCAGTCAAAGGCTCAAGGGTTGGACTGGCCTTTGTGCATCGATCGTGCGGTAGTTAGCAACGGCAGACGGAAAGAAGCCCCTCGTGCCAGGCATGTCCACGAGAACTTTCAGGTACCTTGGCCTTCAAAGAATTTTTTGCGGGCTCAACACTACAAGTCTTTGTGTGACACCTTCTGCCAACCGAATTGAGACTCGAAGGCGGGATGTAGAGCCTGAGGGATTGAGGCCATCGGCTGAAGAACGGCATTAAGATGGGAGATCAAGAGCGTTGTTCTACAATCTTGCTTGCCTGAGGTGCCTATCTACCAATATGACTGCACTGTCAGCGAGCCTGCAGCAGTTTGTGACCACTGCAAGTTCTTTCAGGCCTGCCTGCAGGGCGTGACGCAGCTGTACTTAGCTTTCTGGAAAAGCTGTGTCAGTCTGTCTGCACCTGCCAGCACAAACCCAAGGAAGACGGCCGCGGAGGCTTCGAGGGCAAGACTGCATGGACCTTGAAGCAGGCCTGCGCTGCCTGCGCTGCCTGCGCTGCGTAATGGCGTCATTGACAAGTGTGTCAACTTCAGCTTGCTGTGCTTGTTGCTGAGACGAAGCAGCTGTGTGCAGTAAATAACTCAGATGTGACGAAGGTTTGAGGGACAGGGAATGCCTTCGCTCTCACAAGGTTTGTTTCTTTTGGACTTCGCTTTCGATTCAATTGTAAGGGTTGTCTCTCTGGATGCATCAAGAGCAACGAAGAAGTGCTCAAAGTGCGGTCAACTGCACCAGTCGGATCTGTCTGCTTAGGCAATCCGGAAATCCGGGAAAGAGCATCTCCCCGACCGCCCCCTGTGCTGCATTGGAGCTCGTGGCAGTTGCTGGCAAGTGGTGCTTGAGCCGAGCCGAGGATCTCTCCTAATGAAGATAGACATCGAGGGTGCCGAGTGGCCCACACTCGGCACGGCCAGCACAGAAACACTCAAGAAATTCCGCCAGTTGCTGATTGAGTCCCCGGGCTCGTTGGTTTGGTGGATATGCCAACTTACAGTCTTAGCCACTGCAGTGCAGAAAGGTTCCACGACTTGGGGGACGAGGGACGTCACTCTGAGTTCTTGTCCACGATGCAGAACTTGCAGAAGGCTCGGGCGTGTGCATGTGCGCTTTCGGCTCTTGACTCTGGCTCTGGAGGCCGGCTTTAAAGTCGTGCACCTGCATGGCAACGACTTCAGTCGCAATTACAAGAAAGGCGGCCTGGCCCAAAGGTCTTGAGCAGCTCGAGGAGTCTATGAGTCCATGAGGCTGACGCTGCCTCTGTGTGTTTATCAGTATGTTCATGAAACCTAAGAAGTTCTGCACATCTTGGTCTGTGAATACATGGTTTCGCATGATAATTCAGGTAGGAGCTATACCGATCGTTTGACCGAGCCATGCAGGAGTTCGAGAGAGTTGGAGTTGAATAAATACCCAGAAGTTTTGTGTACTGTGACAAGTTAGTTGCGAACCAAAACCACTCGAGAGGGGATGTAAGTACATGTGCGTTTAATCAATCACCTGAAGGTAGACTCATTCAAACTGTAGGATTTCTCGGGCTAGGATTTTGCAATATCTGCTTCGAGGATGCGAGGACGAAGGCAGTTCTCAAGTTGACAGGACACCGCAAGCAGCGACTTAGTATTCACATGTGGACAGGAGAATCCCTGGCATCCGCACTCTCCATATGCGGCAGATACCACTTTAATATTGAACAATAGTGTTCAACAAGATGGCAGGCACGTCGAAGTAAGAGAGGATTTTCAGGAGAGCGCAACACGTCGCACAGCAAGCAAGAGGAACCATTGCAAGAGATCGTTCTGACGCTCAACGCTGGAACTAAGATTGAAAAGTTGCCCATGCTGGTACAGTATTTGTGCATTCATAAACACGTAGATCTTGGATGAGTGAAGAAAAACTGAGCCATCTTTTGCTCCCGAGTTGGCGCCCGAAAGACTCTGAAGGAACCGGGCACGAAAGACTTTCTGGGCTAGCAAGGTCCCTATTCGATCCCTTCCGTCATCGAGGTCTCCATGGATTCCACCGCCGAGGCTCGGGTCCACGATGGTCCACAGATGTCTCCCGGTACGGCTTGCACCTGGAGTTCCGTTGTACAGTATGTGACGGTTTGTGATGGTCCTAAGACTCCTTGTTTATGCCGAATCATCGGAGACCCTGAATTGCAGATCCGAGATCCTCTTGTTTGAGGCCTAGGCTGGGACACGGGAGGCGAGTTGAGCCTGGGCAGGATATGTCTACATGCCTCGCCCACGAAGCGCGCTTGTCGCTTGATGCCAAGAACAGGCAAGGGTGCAAGGGTGAATGGGCTAGCGGCTAGCGGCTAGCGTTCGGCTCATTGCCAGCAATTGCCAGGAAGAAGATCCCTCACGGGAAGAAAGATCTTCCAAAGGCGCACCTTCCCAAACTCTGAGCGCCTCATGTCATCTCATGTCTAGAGATGTGCACCCAATTTTGGACCCGTGCTTGTCCTTAAAGGCGAGCGGTCATTTTAAGAACGTTACGGGTTCAACCGACTTATGCCTGGCTGAACCTCTGACTGTAGAGGCTGCACTTATGCGCTGGTGTGTCTGAACAGGCTGCCAGGTCAAAAGAAGAGTTCGGTTCTCGCGCTGCGGATTTTGAGCCGTGCACTCCTGCAAAGCCTGCGAAGCTGAACCTTGTCCGGCTCTGAAGCGCGTGAGCAGGAGCCGTGCAGGAACCCCGCTTCCTCTGCCACGACCTCCGTGGGAGGCAGGGAGACGGACAGGCTCTTGAGTCCCCTTTGGCGAGCGTATGTATGCGGTGTGCATGAAATGTCATTTTGCCGGTGTCCCTTGAGCTGAGCTTTCAATTCCCATGCATGATCATGCATGTGCATCTGTAGGTTGTCCATGGTCTGAATGGTGTTCATCTGGCATCACCACGAGTTTCACCTCAGCTTTCCAGAACATGATTGGACTCTCGGGCATGGTCACGGCACTGCCTTGAATATGGAAGAGCATGAAGCTGAGTCTGTCCATCAGGCCTTGGGCTTTCAGCCAGAATAGATTTTCCACTGGCTTTCCAGTACTCACACAACTTTAGCCAGCAACTCAAATTGTTTCCAAGAAGGTTCAATAAGCAGTATGTAGCGGCACGTGGATGTGATAGGCTGCCAGCTGAGAGAATGAGGCATGATGTTCTTTATTTGGTAGCCTTTAGTCCAAGAGCAGAGGTGCAGCTTCAGGCAGCTCAGCTGTCATTCGGAATAGCCCATCTTGACGGCACCTTCCACTTTAGCCAGCTCCCTCAACTGCTCACCCGCCATGCCGCCTAACATCACCATTCCAGCAAGCTTGACACTTGGTGTGCAAAGCCAGGTTGGGAATTCATTGAAGATGTGTTGCTTGTTGGGCCAGCCATTCGCAATGTTTAGGTCATCGAGAGGTCAAATTCAGGTTGCTGTCCGTTGCGGCTGCATGCCCTATGGGAAGATTTGGCTGCTTCAGCACTTTTTGACGAAGCCTGAATACTGCTATTGCAGTCTGCGGCCTTCCACTGCTGCCCTTGAGGCAACAGTGATCGTCCAAATCCTGAAGCAGCCAAGTCCTCATACAGCCAACAAGAGCAACTTGCAACAGCACAATGCTCAGCAGAATGAAGATTCCCGGAAATCCAGAGACGTTCCACGGAAAGTTTGTCCCCCTCCAGGATTTTCGAAGTCGTCTGTGCAGACACTGCCCCCGGGGAGACTGTGGCTGTTGTTGGATCCTGTCCAGAGACACACGGCTGCAGTTGGCAATCCGTGGAGGGTGCCCAACAGTGGGATAAAAACTGCATCATGACGAAGGTTTCAATCGCTGGTTATTTCATCTCCTGCCGCCGGCAGCTAGGGCGGAACACTCGCAGTCTGCTGACCCAAGCGCTGCCAAAGGCTTGGCGAGTGGGATCCCAACAAGGCCCTGGAACTCGCGACGGAGGTGCCGCAGTTGGGAGGGGACCAACAGCTCGCAGGAAGAAGTGTGACAGAGGTGGCGTTTGACGAAGATTTCTGCGGGTATGCAAAGAGCATCTCCCTCGGCAGGCGCGCGTCTTCCCCAGCTGGTTCTCGCCGGCCGCCTGGGCCCTTGCCAGTCGGAAAGAGTGAACCCGCAAAGCCTGGAAAAGAGCAAAAGTGAGAGGGGCCTAGGGCGTGGAGGGCCGAGGGCGGATGTGCTCGGCGCCGCGACTAAACTGGAAACTGAGATTCCCATCCACCCGGACAAGATTTTCTTCAAGATGCTTGGCGAGAATGGCTTATTTCATGTCTTAGGTGGGATAGGCTGAAGTGAAAGCGGCTTCATCCAACCTTTCCGTTGCCAGGCCACCCCCGAACTTGACATTCCAAGTATGCATAGACACTCGCAAGAACTCACAAGTACTGTGCACTCCCGGAGCCCCAGAGCTTTGTTTTTTGCACAATGCATCGTATGCCCATCTGAACTTTCTTATCGGCAGCCATCGCCACAGCGACACCTGCAGCTTAAGGGCCACGTCGGACAGAGCCAGGTTCCATGCAAGGCAAGTTCTCCCAAGCAAACGACATCGACACGTTTAGCGTTGCCAGCACTCGCTAGCCGGCAAACTAAGGGTCGTTATCAAAGGCCCCAAGGGGGTTCGCTGGGAGGGTGGTGACAACAAGCCGGTGCCACCTGCCTAAATTAGCGGCTTGGGACGCTTGGGTTGCCAGATGTGCCGCATCTCCATGCCACCTTGCGAGCCTGTCCGGGTGTGGTTTGCCCGAGGCAGCTCTACGAAGGGAAGCGGAGCAAGGTCAAGTGCTCCTTCGGCAGCGGCTCGGCGTCACAGACAGTGGGGTTGCAGACGCTGCTACTGCTGACCCGATTGAAGGTCCGCCATTCACGGTCAATAGATTTTCATGTGCTGCTAGGCACTATACAGGTGCTGGTACCCCAAGTCAGTGTTCTCTCCAGCTTGCTGGCGGAAACCTTATTTGTGAGGCTTTTCATGACAAGCATGTGTTTTACACTGCGGCCAGATTTTCTGCTTTCTCTCATGTCTGCTCATGTTGGGTTTCGAAATTTTGTACTGCGCTTTGCAGCCAGCACTCTCAAGGAGGAGTGCGAACAAAATTTCGCTAGCGCTCCTGTAGATAGCGCGGGCGTGCCATGGAGGCTGTCGCCAGTGTTGAAGAAGCTGTTGACTACATGCGTCAAGCTGAGGAACGGCTCTTCAATCTTGAGGCTAAAGTGCAACGTCTTGAATCAGCGGCGAGCTCCCAGCAGCTTCTACAGGCCCGCCTGAACACTCTTGCTCTTCGCTTGGAGTCGCTGGAGCAGGAATTGGCCGCTGCTCAGGCACAGCTCACAGGCTCTCACGGCATCTCTCTTCGTGCCGAGGTAACTGTGCTCAGCAACATTCTGTCTGAGACAGTTGAGTCGGTTAACCGCCTCAACCCGGAGCTGCTGCGATTGCTTGCTTGGAGGGATCGCTTCACGTTCAGGCTTCAAGAAGAGCTTCTGAGCATCGGCCACAGGTTTGCGCAAGCGTGTCCGCCGCTGGAGGTATCTGCTCTGGATGCCATGGACTGAGGACAGCTCTGCTCGCGCCGCCCCTAATCCCTAACCTGCCTCTGTGTGCCGATGCCCTGGCTTTCCGGCGTCCCCTCCTTAGTCAGTGTAGGAGCGGCTCCGTTGGATGTTATGAGACTGTGCGCTCCGCTTTGCTGGCCGCGTGAACAGTTCGCCTGCATTACTCGGGGTTTGCCACAGGCTCATTTTCATGTTTCTTTTGAAGCTGTCATGTCGCATCTGAAGTTTACTGCCTCAAGAACCCTTTGCTGTGAGCCCTTGGTACGGCATGGCTGAGAATGAAGAATGGGATCGCCTGGCTCGCAACAGGCTGCGGCGAATGTCCGTGGACGCTCTCACGACCGCCCCCAACATCACGGCCTTGGCTCTGCCATGGGAATCGGGCCTGCTTGCAGCTGTGTTTGGTACAGAAGAGGTCTTGCCTAGACCCGCCCTGGACATTGAGGATGTCTTGGATGCAGCATCTTGCAGGCCCATGGCACCGGAGCCCGTTGATGTTCCTTGTGATCAGAAGCGCGCTTTCTCTGCTGCTTGGAACAAAGACTCTTTCCGCAGGGAGCGTCTTCCTGAGCAAGACAGGTTCGCACTGGTCTACCAGGAGTGGCTTCAAGTGGTGCTGCCGTGGGCGGGCATTACGGTCCTCGGTATGATGCTCTCTGCTGCTGTGGATCA